TCTGCGAATTTTTGTGCTTTGCATACTTAAAACTCTTTGGTACTTAAAATTAGCCCGAAGCTTACTCACTCCCTTAGTAGCTCCTATTTGTTTCTGGGGAATTACTCACTCAGACATGACTACATGACGTATGCTCAATACACAAATTCCAGTCAACGGGCGACAGAGCGAATTTTTGGGTGCCAACTGAATAGAAGTTTCTTTCTCCGGAGGCGAGCAGTTTGCCAAACGAACAATGACAACTGGATGACATTTGAATTATGCCCGCGCAGCGTGTGTATTACAAGGTCGCGGTTTCTGCGTTCTGCGGCCACCTGTGCGTATGAGTAACGTGCCGAAATTATAGCAACGAGAGATTCGCATGTCGTCTAATTACATCGGCAGAAAACAACAAAAACTTTCTCCAGAACAAGTGGTAAAAGAAAAATAAAAGGAAAGCCGAAAGTGAAAGTGAAAGAAAAGTTTGACAGGATATTTGTAGGGAAGTCAGACTGACTGACATCCTGACACAAATATTTACAGATTGTAACTGTATTTATGTTTGCATTGTGTTCTGTGCCACGGCCCACAGAAAAATGCCGTGCTCCTTAGGCTAGACAACCAGTTTTCCAGGCTGTCATGACTGGCAACTTGTGCCTTGTCCATGTGAGCGCAAGTGGCATCGCCATCGTCAAGTCATCGTCGTGACAAACGGCTGCAAGCCCTCCAGCGGATGGCTTACACAGTTCGCCGGGGAATCCCCGCCCAGAGCCCCGTTCCCCTCCCCTCCACCCACCCAAAACATCCGGCAAAAGTGCAAATTGAAAGAGTCTCAAACTGGGAAGGCGGAACTCTCATAATGCTTTGGCATGTAGTGCAAAAAATAGCACTAATTTGGATTCTGCCCAAGTCATATGGTAAGCTTTGGTTTGATAACGATACACAAAATTATAATATTTTTTCAACACTTCAGAGGGTATTATAATGGCACTCAAAAGCGTCTTTCTATTCCAGGTAGTATAAAAAATGAAATAGTGGGAACAATTTTTTTAAACTTCCGTCTGATACAGTTAAATTACATTATTAATGCTTCCTGAAGATAACGAAAGTTAAAAGGATAACATTTGTTTAAATTTCTTTAAATGCCTAAAATGGTTCTGAAAAATATTGTATGTTGGCTTGCTGAGGATTTTATTGGAATTATTTAAGCAGGTACACGTGAACCTATCTTTATACTAAGAGTCTCTATGACTGCTTTTAAAATTTATTAGAATTCTCAAGCAAAAGAAACGTATTCTTTATGACATCTTTATTCGTTATTCATTTTTGTATGTTAAGAAATCATTTCAGTTGTGTGCTCATACTTTATTGCTGCACTCTGCATCATCGTAAAGAATTTGCATAGTTTTTCACCGTGTGACCTTGGCTATTGTGATACACTTTTCTCAACGCACTTGAGATCCTGTTGATGACACACAGGCTGCACACACGCAACACAGCTGCGAGCACTAATGGCATACTATAATTCTAATCTTTTTGTTTTCCTCTTGCACTTCTCAAGAGTGTTCCCTCATTAAATTCCTGGTCAGCAGCTTTAAGGTTAACGTTTACTTTGCCAAATTGTTCGAGGGTAGGCATTCCTTCCACTTGGCTGACTAAAGCACTTATCTTAAATTTGATCAAGTCAAGTCAAATCAGGGAACAACTCCAGCTGTCCATCTTCACATGGCAAGCGAAGGGAAAGGGAATTGACTTCTGGTTATATTTTTCAGTTCCTGTTTTCTCTTTTTTTTTGTTAACCATTTAGAAAACAGTTTAAAATAATGCCACTGCAGAAAAGAAAAACAAACAAGATGCGAGTAACAAGTTTGCTTACGTGAAGAAAAAAAATGCAAATAAAAGAGCGTAAAACAAACAACAGGCAAAAGAAAAGTAAACAGGGTAGCTAAAACAAGCACTCAATAATCAATATGAAGAAATAGTATTTTGAAGAGCAGTGAATAGCAAAACTTGGGGCTGGACTCAAATCAAATCGAAATCCCCTAGCTTTAATTTTATTTGACTGCGATTGCTGGCTATTTTCCGGATCCCCTGCCACTTTTATCAAGCACATGTTTTCGACTCAACTATTTCGATTTCTTTCGAGGCACGAAGTTCTGCAAAATGGCCGTGACATAACTGGCTTATCAACTGGGGAGTCCAACAGCTATACCCACATTCCCACACCCCAACAACCCTCTTTTCAATGCGGAAATCAGTTTTGATTTCAATTTCGAACGCTCTTTCACCTTACACATTTTACCCACATGATGGCCTTATTTACGCTCTCTTTGTTGTTGCCCTGCCCAATGGACCGTGTCCAAAACGAAAATGTTATTCAGGCCTGTCATTAGATTGCTTTTCATGAGCATAATTAAGTTCTGATTGAAACTATGCTAGCGCCCTCAATCAAATATTGATTTAGAAATGTGCTCTGGGTAAAACATTTTTGTTGATTTAGAAAAAAAATTTTTTAGAGGCTCTTTACTTCAATCTAAGGAAATTTTAATAAAATATATAGTTATATCAGATATTGATTTTAAAATGTGCTCTGGAAAAAACAGTATTGCTGATTTAGAAAATGTTATTTAATTTATTCCACTCTTATTGCTTTCAATTTAAAATAGACTGCATTTTTAAGGCCATTTAAAAAAGTTTTAACTGTTCATTAAAATGTAAAATATTTTTATATATAAGAATAAGTTTTCCATTTAATCCTTTAGTATTTATTTGCAAGTTTTGCTTACATAAAAAAATTGTACAATTTTAGATCTCCAGACATTTTATAGATTTTTAATAAAAAGGTAATCGCAATAAAAGAGAATCAAAAGGATTCCATCAATTGTGAATCTTTTTTTCAAATATTATGGTGACCCGAGGGCTATAATATTTCGCTGGTGAAGAGGTCCTTGGGGTCCACTTACCACTACTCTTACCTCGTTCCTCTTTTTCGCTGTGTAATCTGTTAAGCTGTCAGTCTGAGACTGTAGCAACAGCAAATGGCATCGCCATATTATTCTTCGGCATTGTTTGCAAAAATTATAGCATACATCTGCGGGCAACCGGCAGCTGTCATTCATTAATCATTTCATTTGTCACCTATTCAGCACACACCACCACACACGCATGATGAGGGGAGCCATATATAGCCACTATATATTCGCAATTAATACAAAATTATTACCGCTGGGCGGCAGCAGTTTGTATCGAATAAACAATGGGGATTCGGTATCATTCTTTTCTTGCACAACGGCGTTCATCAAGCGGCAATTAATTTACGTAATCGAATTATGGCCCGGCACGATTTTAATTAATATTTCTTGGCCATTTGTATTGTGTCATAATAATGGGAATAACAATTAAATCAGTCAAATGGAGCAAAATCATCAATCAATTAATTTCAGCGCCATTTGATGTGGCCAAAGAATTAGATATTCAAGAAATTCGGTTGTGTCAATTTAATTTTTTGGCAAGTTGAGTACCTAATTTAACCTTTGGCTTGTACAAAAAAAAAATAAATAAATAAAAGGAGGATGGCAATTTGCAAATAAAATTAGTAAGCTTTCTACACATTAGCTGCTCGTTCTACGTAAATTTTCCCACTGTCTCTGTACTCGCATCTATGCATATTTAAGCAGTGTGCTGGCTTTGCGGTCTGTGTGCCTCGTGGAACGTGTTAATTGCAGCCACATTTCCTCCCTGAACTCTCGCTCGCTTTTCCAGCGTTTTCCCAACGCTTTTCCGCTTTTCTGCTTTTCCGGCTGCCAGCTGCAGCTGCCTAACAAATGCAATTAAAATCTTTGCGCAAAGAAATTGTTGCAGCAGGCACGCAGAGATATGGTGAAGTATGTACATTATTTGGGGGCAAAGGCGGGGCGACAGATAACATATTGCCCACGTCCCAGAGAAATGATTTAGGACAAGGCAAACCAAAAAGAAGATTCCCTCAAAACAAAAAAAAATAAATGGCATTTATCTCAGGCCACGCTCTAGCCATACAAATCTAATTTAGACCGCACGATGGCTTCAGATATTTTATATTCCCCACTCAGATGAGGTATGTTCTGATCTGGTCGAGTTGCCTTAATGAGCCAAGCCGTGGGCTAAAATAAAATGGGCAGTTTTTTTCGTGAAAGATGAGCTTAAATTTTTTCTCTGAAAAATTCATGATGATCTGAAAAACAAAATAAAAGCATTAAAAAGTGTACTTACTCTGTCTTAATGTGTAGTTTATTTTGTAAATATATAATATTATTGTCATTAAGCTTCAGATAAAAAAATATTACATTTTATTTATAAATAATAAATAACATTCATTAAAAGTGATGCAATAATTAGGTATATTAAAAGTTTCACAATTAATATCTTAACTTGTTTGTTGTAAAATATTTAAAAATATATATATAACTTACTAAAAGATTTGTAATGATTTGGTAAGATAGTCTCAACCTAATTATTATAAAATATTAAGAAATATATATTATTTACCAAAATTTGTGCAATAATTTGGAATGTAAAATATTCTTATATAAATTAAATATATTAACTGAGCTCGACTTCATTTTGTTTAATACCTTGGTTAGTAAAAGTTTCTCTAAAACCGTCTTCTCATTTATAAATAAAAAATGACCTTAGTTTCAACATCTTTATCCTCAAGTGCATTTTTCCTGCTGCTAATTAAGTTGCAAGGCAGCTGCTTCAGCAGGCGCTGCACGAAGTGGATAAAAGTTAAATCCTTCGAATTGCCGACACTACGGACTATGCTTATTGAATATATAAGTATATATAATTCGCCGGCTATTCTGTAATCGGCTTAGGGCAGCCACCAAGCGACCACAGCAACAGCCAGTGCATCATGCAGTATTTAACCACATTAGTTGGTGGGGCAACCGTGGTCCGTGTGCGCAACAATTTACAACTCGCATTAATTATACGTCACGTTGAACAATGGTCTGTTACTTTCTCCATCTCTCTATTTGTAGGAGTGCTCCTCCCCGATAATTAATTATTGATGCATCTGCTGGGCGGACTCTGCTCGGCTGTCCTTGGCATCAAAGGAGGCCAAAGCAAAGCCCAAGCAAAAGCCAGTTGCAACAGTGAGTGACAGCCAGCAATCACAAAGGACTTGCAGCAACAATGGCCGGTGGCAACAATGAAACTGCGCCGCTCTACTGCGGCAGTGGCATGGATAATTTCCACACAAGGTAAGCGACTTTCCCCAATGTCACGGACAAGGCCGAAGGGCAAATTACTACACAACACCCCATCCAGCAATTTCAAATTAAGGGGAAAAACAACAGCAACATTTAGCCGGAGCCAGAGAATCGTTCAGAAATCGATTATCGCCCCCATTTCAGGGGTAGAGCTTCAATTTTGATTTGCCATACAATTTTCTCGGACGATTAAATGAGGAAGAGGCAGACATAAAAACAGATTTGTCAACAGCAAGGTCAACAATTGATGGCTGAAATCAATTTAATTGACCATTTCCTATAGGCCATCCACATTGCCCATCTGCTGCACCCATAAAAAAACGGAGAATCGGGGGCTACTACAAGTATTTATATTCCTTGCATGCCAAAAGGTCGTAAAACCCCAAGACGATGATTAAAAGCGGCCCTTAAAACTTTATGGCAACAAAGGAAATTCAATTCTTGTCCTTTACGCCGAGTCACCATCGTTGAAATTTCATAAATGCAAGGATAATAAATAGTTAAGCCAATTGCCCAATAAATCTATCAATATTGTGTGATTGGGTTTCGATTAAGGTGACGTTGCTGAACAAAATCCTAAGCGAAATCTAGGCTTTAGTCTTTCATTAAGTTTGGAAAGTGATAAAACGCATTACTAAGCAAGTTTGTCTACATTTCATGGAAAAAATAATTTACCTATTTCGAAAAGCTACTAATTAACTTTTGAGCGTTTAGAGTTTTCTCTTTAAATTTCACAAGTTGTTTATCACTTATTGAATAATCCAATTCATTTAACTACTAAATTTAATTTATTCAAAATAGTTCATTGATTCAATAAGTATTAATTAATAAACAGTTAAAACCGTTTAAAAGCTTTCAACTGAAATCTCATTAAATTTGTTGTAATTTATTAACTTATCAATAAAAAAAATAGGTCAATTGTTTATTAGCTTTTTCATCTCTCTTACTGTAACATAATACAAATGCATTATGGCACCTAAAATTCAATAATAAATTTGTCATCATTTTCAATGGCCATAAACTGTAAATTAATTAATTTGGTTGTTTAAATCAATGTCTCTGAATGCGCCATTAAAATATTTCCTAGTTTATTATGTCAGTTTTTCTACTCTCATTTTAATAATAGATATATAAGAACATAAACCAATCGCAGCATAAATCATTGATGCTCATTTATTTGCCATGATTAAGTTGCGCACTGTGTGAACTGCGAATAATTCATTCTACGGTTGCAAAACATACCCTGAGGAGTGGCTATACTAGTAAAGCCATCCACACCGACTTATCGCCGCTGTTGGCCAGGGCTTTTAGTTTTAATTAGAGCCAGTCTGGCCGGTGTTAATGGCCACGAATTGGTTGGCTGGCCACAGCATCAGAATCCCGCTTTAATTAAAGGTAGCATAAGCTGGCAGTAGAAGCTGGAGTTTGAAAGATGACTGTATGGCAATTAGATGTGTAGCCAAACACTTGGCCATTTACTTTTGTGTCAAAGACGTGCCAAATTGCCGGCAAACGCGATGGCGAAGGCGAATGCGACACTTGACGCTGTCACGCCCCAGACAGACAAAAGCCGCCCCCAAAAACCACCACCCACTCAGTCGTCTCCAGGCGCCACTCATGCGGCAAAGGAACACCAAAACGGCAGACGCCAGAACACCAGAACACCCGAAAAAAATACACATTTCAAACGCCAATGTGTCACAACGAACAACCCTTCCCTTGGCGGCAACGTGACGTATACGCAATATATGGCAAAACCGAACAGAGCGAAAAGAGCCCCAAAAAAAAAAAAACCGCAACAAAACACGCACAAAACAAGCAATTAACATAAATAATAAAGAACGCACAAAGGCAAGAAAACCCTAAAAACCGAAGACCCAGAAGAAATGTGTAAAATTGCTTCTGGAAAATATTTAATTTTCGAAATGCGTCGGCCGCTTTTTGCGGCCGTGTATTCCCTAAACAAATAAAACAAATAAGCACACACATCGTCGTCTGACGTTTCATGTTAAAGGCTTCTCATGCTGATGGACAGGATACAGAATGAACGAAAATATAAAGCCCAGAAGTGAGGTGTGTCTACGTGCCCCGAAAAACAGCGAAATGGAATCACTTTCCGAATGCTGGCGACACTTTCACTTTCACCCAGAGACACACACAACCCTCGTCTCGTAACGAATGGGGAATTTACAACTCCATTCATCAAACTCACAAAAACTTTGACTGCTAAAAATTCTTGGGTTCTTCGTCGCAGCAGCAGTAGCAGTTTACCTTGGTCAAAATCTAAACTCCCAGCTTCCAACCTTCTTCGTCGCTGAGTCTAATTTATGGCCTTTGATAATCCATGTTGATGAATGGCGGCAACGGCAACGACGTCGACGACATGAATGAAGTCCTGGAATTGTTTTGGCCTAGAACAGCATCGGCGGGGTTATGGTGGCACTGGCTCAAAGTTATTGGCCCAGAAATCAGGCACAGTCAGCTGTCGAAATGAGCGCCAAAAAAAAAAACTAAACCAACTGAAGTCCCTACACCGGAAAAATGCATGTCATTATGGAGCCCATGTTTGTGCTTATCTTATTTTAACATATGGTTTCTAAAGGTACCAGTGAATTAAACATGTTGCCACAAACTTGAAGATCCTTTAATTTCATTAACTTTAAATAAGTAATAAATATTCCAAGATACAAATTCATTTAAAGTCGCATAAAAATATTATTTTAATAGTGTTTAAGTTGCATAAATTAAAAATGTTTTTAATGTTCGTGGCTTTTGTATAAAATTTTATAAATTTGTATACCACAAATTTTGTTCGTTAATCTTTAAATAAATTAAAATTGACAGAACAAATTATGAATAATAATTGACAGAACAAATTATGAATAATAATAGCCATCAGATAAGTAACTGAAATGTCCCAATCTTTTTTATCTATAAACCAGAACATCAAAATCTAGTGAATGATATATTAATTATATATATCTTTAATCTTTAGATAAAATAAAGTTGCCAAAAAATATTTAAAAATAATAATAATAATCGGATTAACTGTAACAACCCAATCTTCTTTCTCCGTAAACCAGAAAAGCAAAAGCTTGTGAACGTTATTTAATCGAAGAGCGTAGAAACAGAATCGACACATTCATTCCAAGTAGGGCATAGTTTTTCTTCTTTGGTTCCCAAAATAATAGAGACATTTTCCATTTGCCCCCTGCAGCTTATTGCATGGCCGATGAAAATTTTTTTTCTGTTGGTCTCTTGCTTGCAAACAAATTAATACGAGCTGGCCAAGCACTTTCCGGCAAAAGCCTCTCAGCCATGCAGATTGGAATGGAAATTCTGGGCACGATTGCATAAGACCACCTGCAGTTTGGGGAAACACGACTAAAAAGCTGCCCACAAATTTGGCCTTGATTCTTCAATAAAACTGTCATTCGGTTGGCAATTCCCACCGCACCTTTTGTTTTGGAGTGAATGGGGAATTTCGCACACGAAAGCAATAAACAATTTAACTAAACTCCTGACACCGACAGCAGCAGCACCAGGACACACGTGTCACTCCATTTAGAGCTCCGAGTTTATTAAACATTTTATTCTGTCAGTCGTCAGCCGCAGAACTGCATCCGGCAGGCGTTAAAGTGTCCTGTTCTGTGAAGCTCCTTATATAAACTATGCGCTAAGTCTAATTTGTTGGCTGCAACTTGCATAAAAAGCAAACGAAAAGTAAAGGCAGTGTAAAAATGCCAGAGGACAAAGACCAAACGAAAGCGTTGAGAGCTTCTTCGGTTTTTCCTGTTCCAAATTCCCTAAAACTTTGAGTAGAAATTTGAATCCTTTGCCACCTCTTTTTTTTCTTGGCTCAACGTTGGCCTCAAAGCGCTCCACGAAAACTGAACCAAAGCTGGTAAAATGTTTATCCCAAATGGGGGCGGCGTGGGCGTGGCTGGCTAAAGCCTGAGGCCCCAGTGAGTTTATTGCCCCAACTGCTGCAAATGCTTCTGTTTGCCAAGTCAACGGAAATGGCTTTTGGATGGTTTTATTGCCTGCTTTGGCCAAGAGAGAAAAAGGGAAGACTAAGAATGGTAGTAACAAACTGGTTAAGGCTAACTAGGGCATAATAACCAAAACATAATTTTGGCAAATGCCTACCACTTACTCAGCCGACTTCAATTTGTGTTTCTATTACAGCTGAGAATAAAGTTGGTTTTCACAGCACAATATAAAAGCGCTTTTCTAGTCGTTGTCTTAAATATTGAAAAAAATTTAGGTAATTTTACTTGCAAATATGGGAAAAACAAAGTATTATATTACATTTTGTATTTTAATATATTTTTAGCAAGTTTAAAAACGCAAAGGACTGAATTAGGAATTCAAAATTAAATTGGTTCCTTAATCATTAAAAATACATTATACAGATACAAAAATATTAAATTAATTTCAAGGCATTTTCATTAAATAAATAATTTGTCTAAAAGATTTTATTTAAAGAAATTTATTAATAACCATTGCTAATGGATTATAAATAAATAAAATGTACTGCATAAGGTCCTTAAGAATTTTTAAATAAGCAATGAAAATGGTTGATTAATTATTTGTACGTATACTTAATGTAAAACTTATAAATTGAAATCTTATGCTGATAATTAATACGAATATCTAAAATATTTATCTTTACTTTTTCAGCTACAAAAACATGCATGGCTATGTTTCGCTGGTGGTTTGCATCCTTGGCACCATTGCGAATACCTTGAATATTATAGTGCTGACTCGCAGGGAGATGCGCTCGCCCACAAATGCCATTTTGACTGGGTTGGCCGTGGCCGATCTGGCAGTTATGCTGGAATATATACCCTACACCATACACGACTATATCCTGACGGATAGTTTGCCACGAGAGGAGAAACTAAGCTATAGTTGGGCCTGCTTCATAAAATTCCACTCGATTTTTGCCCAAGTTCTGCACACAATTTCCATTTGGCTGACAGTAACTCTAGCTGTTTGGCGATATATTGCGGTTGGTTATCCCCAGAAAAATCGCGTCTGGTGCGGAATGAGAACCACTATAATAACGATAACCACAGCTTATGTGGTGTGTGTCTTGTTGGTATCCCCTTCGCTTTATTTGATCACAGCCATTACGGAATATGTGGATCAGTTGGATGTGAATGGCAAGGTGATAAATTCGATACCCATGACCCAGTATGTAATTGATTATCGGAATGAGTTACTGAGTGCCAGGGCGGCAGCCCTGAATGCCACGCCCCCTGCTCCAGCATCGAATGAAACGCTATGGTTCAATGTGAGTTCGTTGATAACGTCGACAACCACTGTGCCACCGCCACCAACACCACCCACTCCATCGCCAGTGGTGCGAAATGTCACGGTCTATCGGTTGTATCACAGTGACTTGGCTTTGCACAATGCCTCGCTGCAAAATGCCACATTTCTTATATACAGTGTGGTGATAAAGTTGATACCCTGTATTGCATTAACCATACTCTCCGTTCGATTGATCATGGCCTTATTGGAGGCCAAAAGGAGAAGGAAGAAACTCACCAGTAAGCCCATAGCTCCAGCTGCGAGTAATGGAACCAAATCGGTGATCAATGGGAAGGCTGCCGATCGGCCACGGAAAAATAGTAAAACTTTGGAGAAGGAAAAGCAGACGGATCGAACCACACGGATGTTGTTGGCGGTGCTGCTGCTTTTCCTCATCACCGAATTTCCGCAGGGAGTTTTGGGCCTACTGAACGCCCTGCTCGGCGATGTTTTCTATCTGCAGTGCTACCTGAGACTGAGTAAGTAATGAGTTTTGTACATCGAAATAAAAAAATATATTCATTCTGTTCTTCAAAGTGATTTTAAAATCAAAGAATTAAATTTAAATAAAATGCATTTAAGTAAAAAGGAGATAATGTTTTCCACGTTAATAAAAAATTCCAATACTTAATCATTTAATTGAATACGCATTGAATTTAACAATATGATTTAATATTTCATTTAAATATTTAATATAAAATTTGGAATTCAATAGGCAGGACATTTTTTTAACTAATTCATTTTTGTATAACAATAGTTTTTTTAGACATTTTTTAATTTTTTAATTTTAAAATTGTGGGGGTCACTAAAGAAATTAGTTGAATTATAAAATACCTTACAAATCTATCTAAGACTATGCAATAAAAGAAAGTACGTCGTTTCTTTCAATCAAATATCCTGAAACAATTTTCAGCAAAAATACAATATATCCACAAAGCAATAAATATGCTATTTAATAAACATAAACTCAACAGCGAGTAACGTACAATGCTTTCCGCAACTTTTATGGTCCTACGAGACCACAAGTTTATTGAATAATTTCTGTGACCCTGAAAATACGAATTTAGTGTTATATATGTTACAACGAAAAATTGTTAGTGTCAAGTAGATAAGAAATGAAAACATATACTTTCTGGCTTACACATTTTTCATTGCTTTTATGGATTTTTTCTGGTTTTAATCATGCTAATTAAAACCTATACCTGCTTGCTGCTACTTTTCCCAGGTGACCTCATGGACATTTTGGCCCTGATCAACTCGAGCATCAACTTCATTCTGTACTGCTCGATGAGCAAACAATTCCGCACCACATTCACGCTGCTGTTTCGTCCCAAATTCCTGGACAAATGGCTGCCGGTGGCCCAGGACGAGATGGCGGCCACTCGGGCGGAGCGTTCGGCGGTGGCACCTGTCCTGGAAAAAGGACATCAGCGCCAGCAGCCGCAGGTGGTGATGGCGACCACCACGACCAATGTTACACAGGTGACGAATCTGTAGCACAGGCGGCGAAATCGTGGTCGCCGAACTCCGCTCAGCCGGCTGTTGAGTGTCCTTAAGCGGAGGCGAAGGGAGTCATCCGCCGGAGGAGGAGGAGGAGGAGGGGTTACTGGAAATGGGGCAGTGGAACCGGAAGCGGATCCCCTGGCCCTTCAGTTCCAGGCCATTGTTGTGGTCGTGGACAAAGTGAGCGGGGCCACGGATCATCAGCTATATACCGCTGAGCAGGCTCGAATTGTGACGTAGTTACCCCGATAATAGATATATTTACTATATATACGCTTAGTTATCCTTGTAAAAAGTAAACTAGTCGTATAAGAACCCAACTAAACACGAGTTACTTGCATACTTTAGGGAAGAATCATAAAACCCGAATAGTGTAATAATAATAAAGCGCTATCTCATCACTCATACGCACCGTTGCGTTTTCCGCCATTCTCTCTTTACATTCAAGTGGAAGCTGTAAAAATGCTGTGAATGAATTCGCACATATAATGTACAGCTGTGAGCTAAATAATAGTTACATTGGCTTAGTTTCACATATATGGGCAACAAAAAATGTTCCTAAATATTACACAATTAAACTTTTTTTTTTTTAAATCAACTTTATATACTATTGGCTTTGTAGTATACGCTTTTATTATTTCTTTTTATATATTTTAGTATAAGTATACTATTTTTTTTTTGACGCTTATTAAATTTTATGTTTTAGATGTTTATAACTTCGCACTTTAAGAAAATATAATAAAATTAGCACAATTCCTATTTTACTATTTTGACCACAGCTGTACAACTATTCCGCATAAATCAAATCAAATATAGTAATCTCTTGCATCTTTTTCATTCTGATCCTATGCATTTCCATGGTGATTTCATCCGTTTAAAGTATGCAATACACGTGCTCACTCAAAACTACGAATTTTTTGGCAACGACTTACACAAAATATTAGCAAGATGTTGTACATACATAATATACACACACATTGATGTCCGTATGTTTATTAATGGGACTTAGATTTAATTGTATGCTGAGAATGTCCTAGAAATATTTTTATAGCCTTAGTTAAGTAATTTTTGATGCAACCATTGGACAAACAAAATGTCAGTTGCAGTGGAAAAAATATTAAAAAAATTATTTGATACGAAATCGGATTTTGGGCTGTGAATGAATGTATAATTTGGTTTAAATTCATTTGGGAATTCACTCAAGTTGAATGCGTTTACTGAATTTAACGAAAATAATTGAAAAGCAGCCACTGCAGCTGACCTAATAATCCAATGAAACAATGCATACATGTTTGCGAACTTTTTCCTCTCTTGGGAAAATAATAATTGAAACCTTCGACAACTGACAAATGGCCAGCGGACGCATAAATTATGATGATTAAAGTATTTGCAATTGAGCCCCGACAAATATTTTCAATCTCGTTAATAATGAACACATAAATCAAGCACAACACAAATAAGTAAATGTGAATACACAAAACTAAATGTAATTATTTGTTGCTTTTACAACGTTTAAATAAGCTACTAAATTACTTGAAAACCTATACATTTAATTAAATTGTAAAGTTGCCACTTTGCGAACTGAAAGTCGGCATAGATAATAGATTAATTGTTGTTTGTTATAACTATTTCAATTGACAGATAAGTGTGATTTAAGCTACTCAATTTACACATTGAGAGTCACGAACAAGGTTTATTAAAGCGTAATAAAGTTTTTTTATACCTTTAAAAAAAGGTTTAAATCGAATTGACAAGCTCACTGATTGGTATTTAAATTTAAGCAAAACCCAAACACATAATAAAATTAACTTAAATCCAGTAAAGTTGTTTCATTACAAGCGGAACATAATTTTTAAACAATTTAAGTAAGTCTTTCAATTATTTTTAATTTAGGCCAATAAAATTGGGAGAATAAAAACTCCCTTTCAAACATATTTTAGCAAAGTTTAATTTGCATTAGCCAGAAAATATGGCAAACCGCAGGGAAAAGTTCGCTCAAATTTATATAAGGAAAGGAATCCAAAACAATAAGCATGAGAAATGGGCCACAAAACTTTATGGCCCAAACGAGCCGTGGAAAATTGTGTTGAAGAAGGAGTTCGGCGAAAGATGAGAAATGTTGGCTGCCAACTTTTTCCCTAGTTCCGAGTAGTTGTAGAAAATAAAAGATTACTGGCCATCCAGATTGCACTGGCGCTGATAAACCATGGAAATGGTTGTCTACGAGACAAGTTAGTTGCGGTCAAGATTCAAGTAATGTAACATTTTATTTCGCTTGAAGTTGGCGGCCACAGTTCAGCGGAAAATTTTGTAAAACTTTTGCTCTTTCTTTTTAAGTTTTATGAGAGACGGTAAAATTGAATGGGTTTGCCCGGGGATAATCATCTTTTAACGCTCCTCATTATCAGTAAGTATGCCCAGCCCTACCTGATTTCCGCCCTTTTGCTTATTGAATTATTAACCCATTTAAAGGTCGTTTCCCTCTTTTAATTTGCTAATTAACTCAATTGACGCCTACCTGGGATTACCCTTAGCCAATTATAAGCCTACCCCTTAGCTTTTCATTTCTGTCCGCCGATAAGTTTACAATTTTGTAATTAATGCCCCATTCTGACAGCTTCAACTGGTTTGGCTTGGCCCTTAATACTTGGCCCGCCATTGTTTATCCGGCCGTGCTCAATTAAATATGAATTCGCAACTTGGCCTTTGAATAACAAGATTCTCTCCTTTTTGGCCAGGCCATAAAATGCAGCAGTGCGGGAACAGCTTGCGGCACTCATAAACACATTTTATCGAAGGCAGTTAAGTCAATGTAAAAAAAATGACGAAACTTTAGCCATTATTGGAACGTGACGCGACTGGGAAAAGAATGGCCCACGATTGCAGGCATCTAACCATGCAACATGCACGGAAAGAAAAGTTTGGCAGTAATGGTGCTTAATTAATTGCTTTTTAGATAAAAATATATGTACAACCGTTATTATCTACACAAAATAAAAAAATTCTAATTTATTTAATTGAAGTAAATGATCTCGTAATTGAGTGAAATTTATGTTTTGAAAATATAGTAATGTAAATATTTTATATTTAAAATGATATAACATAGTTAAACATCTTCTTAAGAATATTTAATTAACTAATGCTGTGTAGATACAAATATATTTACAGCCCTTATAATCTAAAATTTAAATATTGTCATATACATATATACTTAATTAAATAAAATATCATAAGAAAATATGCTAATAAATTAAATAAATATAATAGTTATTACATTTGTTCAATTTGAAGAAATTCAATTTTATGAAATAATATATTTAAATAAAATATTATAAAATGATTATTAATTTAAATGATTAAAGGCAGAAAGCAGTTCCACTTGTTTTCAGTACACACATGACTTTAAGGAAAAAATCTGTTTAAGTAAAGTCCCTCAATTTTGGGCCAAATATCCGTACAGCTTTATTATGTATTCATTTTATAATGGCTATTTTCGAATGTTCACCTGTTGAGTATACGCACCGAGGGCCTGTCAACTTCTGGCGCTGCTTCAAACTTTCCATATGAACAAATTGATTGAAAAACTTTGCGCAGAGAGCACACTGCTTTTCAAAGGGCTGCGTCCTTGAAGAGGCATCCAGCCTTACTTCACATGGGTGTGTTGGGTGTGTGGGTGTTGGGTGGTAAAAATGGAAATTTCAGCTAGTTACCCTAAGGGCAAAAACACAATGCCATGGCAACTACGAGCTCTCCCTTTTTGGGAAGTGGCATATGCAATCTTCATTCTCCACTCGTCTGCATTCTCCACTTAAATGTTGGCCAAAAGGGAGCTGGACAGTTACGCCCCCTCTCGTGCCGCGCCCATTTGCATAATGGATTTGACTACAATTAGCTGGCAGCTGGCAGATGCTCCTGCCGCTGACATGACTTCAAACTGGCCCCATTCCGGACGTATCTGTAGCTGTGTTGGCTATATGTAGATATATACTGATATATATCTAAAGATTTTCTGAGGAACATTTTCAAGTTCAAAATATATTTACTTGTTATACCTAAAAAATTACTATTTTCAAATCTTCTTTGGCTCAGTAATAAATTTTACATTTTTAAGAGGTAGCTCAGAATTAATTTATTAAAAATGTTTCTTGTAGAAGACAAAATTATTGCATTATTGTGGGAAGCTCTGTTAATTATGGTAACAAAGCCAACAAAACAAGCTTCAACAAAAAACAAAACAGAGACAACATATATTAAAAATTAATTTTAAGAGTAAAAACTAATAGAGGTGCATACATGTGTTTCTTAAAATAATCATATACTTGCCTTTTTTTAAACTGGTAAAAGCTAATAATAATCTTGGCCAATACAAGATTTGAGCTTTAAATTTGTTTCTTATTCAATTAAATATATATTTTATATCTTGCACTTTACGTTTTAACTGATAAGTTGTTTTTTATATAATCAGCAAGGCTGTTTTAATAAGCTGTAGTGCTCCGAGTTCTAGGAATTAATATGAGCAATTCGCAATTGTTTGTGTAACAAACACAGCCATGAACTTGATTCGTTCCAGCCCAAGGTGCTGCCACGAACAGAAACAGCAGTCGTCCTCGTCCTGCAACATTGCATCACTGCAGCATCGCCATCGCAGCATCAGCATCCCAGCATCCAAACATCCAGACAGTCGAACGCCGGATAAAGTTCACTCGAAATGCGAAAAGCGAAAAGTGAGTGAAACCCACAACCCAGGCCAAGCGAACAGAATTCAATCAAACCACGTCTTCTGTTTATGTCTCTCAAGGACTTTAACCCTTTTGAGGGGTATAGTACTCCCCATTAATACCTGCCATCATTGCCCCTAATTGCAACCACTTTAAAATACTTTTTGCAGCCAAGGGAGCAGCCGACGATGGGGGTTGTGTACTTTCAGCAGTCACTGTTACCGGCTTCCACCCAGTTTTCGCCCTTCTCTCGGTGCAGCCACTGCGCATCTAATGAGGCTCATTAACGTAATTACGTGATGTTGGCAATAACTGGCCAAAATCCCTGCCTCTTGATTACAACAACGATGATGACGATGATGACGATGATGATGGGGGAATTGTGCTCACACACTCCATTGCTCGTTGCCACATGTTTGTATGGCAGAATCTGTCTGAAGCCAAAAGCAGTTTTGTTTATTAGTATCTGCAGGGTGAAATTGAAATGCGAAGTTATCCAAACGAATGGTCACAGATTAGGAGCTAATTTATGAAGTTTCTTAGGGAATTATTAATGCTGGCAAATGTTCAAAAGACAACATGATAAGCTCTTACTTCATTTTGCATTATTTTGATGTAGTAAATAAATAAACCAAGTAGTAGATTCAAATCATTATTAAATATTTAATTTGAAAATATGAAATCTTAGTAAATTGTACCTTTTTCTTTAAAATTAGTTTTGAGTTCCTTAAGTATAAATCAAATAGAATGTTTAAGATACCATAAAACTACAATTAGTTGGTTCTTCTTTATTAATGACGTTTGAATTTAATAAATAAAATATTTTGCTTAATACAAATTGAAAACATAAGTTATGGTTAAATTATTACAAGAAAATTAAAGTTGAATAATTTATTTTGATTTTTAACATTTAAATTAGTT